TTATGTAAATAATCTAATTTATTGCGTGGTATAGGGTAATGAGCAACAAAATCGACAAGCTCTTAGAATAGATGAATAGAACAGCTTTGGGGCTGGAGCAAAGACTCTGCAGAGAGCACTTCTTGAAGTCCCTTATTTCTAATGGTGCTTAAGAGGGGCCTTAGAGACCTCTTCATCTTACAGATGAGGAATTTAAGGCCAGAGAAGGTTAAGTGACTTAAGATCAAACAATAAGTGCTGATGCTTGATCCTGAATCCAGGTCTTGTACTCTTCTACTACACCATGCTTTCTCTGGTAATCGAGTTTCCTCCCAATATATGCTCCCGTCACTTCAGAAAGAGGCGCCTGACCCTACAACCTTAGCTCTCTGCTTCCTACACAAAACTTTTGCCTCATTCCCATCCTAGTTCTCAATTTCTCTTATCCCTTCTCTTCTCTCTCCCTGCAAATACCTAGGACACATGACTAGGTATATTTATTTTACACAGTAAAAACTGAAACACTATCAGATTTACAGTAAAATATGAGGGGAAATGGACTTGGGGGTAGGTGCGACATTTTTCAGTAATTCCCCTTAGTCCCCTCACCTGGGGTTGGGGATGGTTAGAGTTGGTTCTCAAGTTTCCAATGGTGATGGAATCAAGAACTGTGGAGGAAGAGCTGTCAGAGAAAGCTGTTTAATCTATTAGATTTCCAGAGGCCAGCGGTTCTTTCTGGGAAAGGCAGCAGTTGACCTGAGTCACAGGCACCACTCTGAGTCCTGGCTCCATGTCTTGGTATGTTAAGACACCCTGCAATACAAACAGAAATAGACAAGACTGTGGTAGAGGAAGATAACTCGTGGTGGGGTTGAAGAGAAGGTAGTGAGAATTTTTAAATGGCATTCAGAAAGTGTGACAAGAATTTTCCCCATGTCTCTGCAACAAAATAGAGGGTGAGCATTATATTGCAGGTAACAAAATGGCAGTTGCTTAATAAATAAGTATTGAATTAAGAATGTACCAATCACTGTACTGACTTAAAACTACAAGGAATACGTATACTGGCACACACATTCTTTAATCATTCTACCTTGTCCTCTTTTGTTAGGATAGTAGAGGGATGGTGGAATAAGTAGGCTACCCTGTTAGGGCAGCTTCCTGCACTCATCCCTCAAAACGTTTACTAAATGCTTACTCTGTACTGAGTACTCAGTACCCCGAACCGAGTACTCAGGGGGTGCATATCACCTACTACATTATCACCTAAGTAACTGTTACAGTGGAGGAAGGAAGAATGTCAAGTTATTCCATTCCTTCCCCTCTGTCAGGCAAGCATCCAGCAAGGAACAGCAAGCTACCTAAGGCCAATTCATTAATCACTGGTTCTTTTACAACTTCTCATTTAGGACTAGTATGTCAGCCTCAGGGAATTTTAACCCGTTAACCTCTTAAAACTGCTCTTACCTGCCACCCAGAATATCACTGAACACTTAACTACATGCCAAGCGCTATGCCTTCGCTGCCCCATTCTGAGAACAACCCTAATACTAGCTCCTCCTATGTTCCCTCTAAAATGGAAAATGACCCTCAGAGAAGTCAAGCCTCTGTCAGTCTGAATCCCCAGCCAGTGTTATGCCGTGCCATACTGCCTCTCAGGGACCGGAAGTCACAGTGCATGTTTAGTAGCCCAGCTCTTCTTCTCTCCAGGGTCCACTACATGGAGCCTTTGGGGCCAAAGAGGCCTTTAATAAAAGTGTGGAGAGAGGGGTCCAATAAAAAGCCAAGAAATGTCTTAACAGATTTTCTCCACCAGAGTGAAGTTAAGGAAAAACAAGTGGTTATGAATACCAGATTTCACAGAAGTCTAGGGAAAAGGGAATCCTCAGCAGGATTTCCCCAAAATCCTAAATTTGGGGAAATTCTCAGCTTCACTCCACCTTTAGAACAGACATCCTTAGTCAGCCAACATGTTGGTCAAGGAGTTTTTTTTTTTTAATAATCCTAAACTATATGTAAGAATGTTCTCCATTGAAAGTACATTTTCCATTGTCATCAGGATCAACACAAACCTCTAAATCTATCTTAGCTCTTAGAAGGAAAACTTCCCTGCATCAAAGAGGTAGAAAAGATATTGGAGGTAAAAAAGAAATTTAAGGTAAACTATCTAAGTTATGTCATTATCACCAAATGTTTTTGAGGCCCAGAGAACTAGCCAAGTGGCTAAAGGGTACAGTAGGTGGTGTGGGAGGTTAGGTTTTTTTTCAAATTTCCTTAGTAATGAAGATCTAGGATGGGGCCAAGCTTTTACCTGAACTTTGCTTTAAGATGCCACAAGGGGAGATGAAGTCTAGTCAAATTTGCTGAGTAAATAAAGAAGTGGATGCTTCCTATCAGGGCATAGTTAAGTAGAACTTTGCTTTGAAAACAAAGCATTGGGCTCACTATAAATCCCTACTAAGATTTCACTCAGCCAAGACCTCTTGATACTGTATTAGAGAAAGACAGAAAGTCACTTCTACCCCTGCCTTTTAAACCCTGATTTGTCAGGTCAAGGCCAAGGGAAAAATACAGGAAGTCTCCCAGACACAGGAGTCAGTGCAGGGATGTGTCATATTAGGATCAATTCTTAAGTACAAAACAAAGAGCTAAGCACTCTGAAAGGTCCAAGATACATTTACAGATGGCATCATACTAAGCCCACTACCGATTAGGATTTCAAATCCTTTACTAAACTCCAGTGCTCTCACCAGTGACTGGCTACCTAGAAGATATGGGACCTTAAGTGGTTCTCACGTAAGTGCAAAGAATTCCTAGCCAGGCAAGGGGTAACAGAGGGAACTGGCTGCTGCCCAACTCCTTTTTTACCCAATCCAACTGAAATACCCCCCCAAAAAATGTAGCAAGTTTCTAGTCTTTTTATCTCCTCTTTCCCACAAATTATGCAGTGAAGGACTTGAGCAATTCTCAAAAACAAGGGAAAACAATGAGGATGAAGGAAGTGAAGTTGCTGAAACATCTAATTTGCTATGAACCCCAAAAGATCCAGGGTGGACTGGTTTAGCCAACGCCCTTTCGAGCCAAACACACAAGCTGCAGCCTGTATTTTTGTTCTGTTGGTGCTGCTCACTAGCCCTTCCACCCACATCTGGGTTCTCAATTTCAACTCTTCCCAGTTAGAACACAGGAAAAGGAGACGTAAAATGGAACCGTAAAGGAACCGCAATACCAATTTCTAAATTGACCTCAGCCTTCTCCTCCCCTTTCCCTCAAACTTGCGACCAAGCATACAGTGTTTCTCCTCCCCTACCCCAACAGTTAGCCACAAAATGTGAGTTGTGAATTTCACTTGTTCTTTTCCTTTAAAGCATATGTGCTTCTCTTTACTTCTACATGGGGGTAGAACAGGATGTTTACTTGAGAGCCGATATCTCACCTAATAAGGGTGTCCCTCTCTAGCTTTGTCTATGCAGCTTCAATGAGTTATTACTCAGCAATTATGAACAACAGCTGACTAGACTTGCCTATACACTCATAAACAAGTATGAGAAACGCCCCAATACCCCAAAACCCATTTCGATGGTGTGTTACTGTCTACATACAGGAGAGGGTAACTCATTCCTCCCATACAAGACTGGCTTAAATAAAGCAATTTAGGGAAAGGAAGGTGAGCATTTTTAACATGCCCAGAGTCCAACAAGCAAATCTAAAATCTGTTGCTCCCTTGAGGGTGGAAAAAGGATTAGGAGGGCAAGTCAGGGTCCCAAGAGACAAGAAAGAATAGGTGTGTGCCAGATTCCAGAAGGACCCAGTTCAATGGACACCCTACCTGCTGGGTGCGTTCCTAGGCCACTGCTATTTCTGAAGTATCTCATGACACGTGTAGCTTCATGTAATCAAGGCTGCTATTAGAGACTTCTACCCTGCCAGAGACCTAGGGCTAGTATAGATGTGGTGACACTCTCTTTACCCTCTTAAAGCTGACATTCCATTTATTAAGCCTCACTGGGTGATGAAAAAGGGATGGGGCAAGAGAGGAGGGTTAAGTGTAGCTTCTGCATGACAGACTACCAGTATGCAGCAAGAAGGGTAGACGTAGGCAAAGAATTGGCGAGAAGGACCCCTACCCCTCTTCTATGCTTGCTTTAAAAATGCTTAACTCAAAATTGTACTATTGAAGACAAATACAATTATTCACAGTATATCCCAGTTCATTACCAACCACTCCTGAACATCTTGATCTTACCCCACCCATCATCCCTTTCTAAAACTGAATTACACAAATGATGAAACAGAAAACAGGGCATGAAGATCTCAAGGGCTCAGACTGCCTTCAGTGACAGAGTGCATAAGTCAAAGGGCACAACTGGACAAGATCAATGTGAGGGGAAAAGTCAAACACACAACAAAGGAAACCATATTTTATTAAACTGGAAAACAAAAACAATACTGGAGACAAAGATTAAAAAAAAAGAAAAAGGAATGGCTGGAAGAGAGGCAAGTGCGAGTGACCACAAGGCAGGGATGAGAGGGCGGTCTGTGGTTATCTGCGTGCCTCAGAAATGTGCAGACACAGACTTCCCCCACTCTGAGACCAAAAGCCAATAAAAGCTTATCTTCAGGCTTTTTTTTTTCTGTATCCTGTAGCTGGTTTCACCTTCAGCCCTGGACAGTCATGTAGCGTCTTTGCCGGAGGAAATTCAGTTTTCCAAGCACAGATCTGCTCCACAAGGCAGCAGTTTCGGCTCCTGTAGAAGTTCCCTTCTATTTGCACTCACCAGATAAGACAGGGGCCCTTGGTCAAAGCCCCAAATCTCAAAGAAAAATGTCAAACCTTTAGAACTAGGTATTTTATTAAATGATATTAACACACATTTCAAAAGGATTTCATTGTTGTTGTCTCTAAAGCATGAACTTCCTTTTTTTTCCACACTGAACACATGAGAATGTCAATCCAACATATCTAATTTTAGTTTGAACAGGCACCCCCACCCATTCAAAAGGGGGGGGGNAGCCATAGCCTATTGAATACCATGCTCCCTCTCTCTGCGCATCCACTGTAGGCCACACCTTTCTAGTACCTTGATAAAAGTCAACAGCCCTTTACAGTATTCATGTTTATGCTTCTAACACTCTTTTTTTATCACTTGGTTTCTTCTAGGCCGTCAGTCCCTCCCCAGTCTCCTTTCCCCTGGTCTTGAGTCCCCCTTACCCTGATAAAAGCCACCAGTGCATTATAGACCCTTGTCCCTCGAGGCAGGAAGAAGCAGCTCCCAGGGCTCAATTTGTGGAAGAAGAAGAGCTCCTGTTCCTGGGGCCAGGAATGGCAATGGTTACTTCAAGGGGAAGGCAGGGGCTTTGAAACCCAGAAGAAATAATGCTCAAGCTGCTGGACTCTGCTCCCGGCCTCACAGTCAGGTTCCTTCATCCCCCCACTGCCCAGATCGCTGTACCTTCCCAATGCGTCGGTGGTCCCGTAACTCAGCTTCCTCCCTCCACTCTTCCCAGGCCCTCAGCTCCTCCACAGTGGGAAAGGAAATCCCTGACACTCTCTGCAGTGTCTCTGGGGTGCCTGACAACCTCCACATGGATGACGAGTTCTATGGGAGGACATGGGGGGTCAAAGTGAAGGTGGGGAGGACTAGACACCCAACTCTCCTTCAGTCCTCATCTGATACTTTTGGTGTGAGCATCACAGGTGTGTCACTCTCACCTCTCCACCACCCTTTCCACCATCACCACCATGAAGAGAACCACAACCCCTTTGCCATGGTTACAACCTTGGAGGTGCTTGACTCTTGATTCCTATGTATGTCCTGCTCAAGCCTAACCTTGCCCTGCCACCTCTCTCTCACCTCATTCTCACTGCCACTGCCTGGCTAGCACCCTTGGTCTTAGTTCCTTCCTCTTCCAGGCAAGGGGCACTCGAGGGAGAACCCTAAACTTTGGTCAATTGTGAATCTATCCATCCCCTTATCAATCTCCAATACAGCTGCTAGAAAACTCAATCCCCCATATTCCTAACCACATGAAATTCATATGCTCTTGCTTCCTCTTTCCTTGAACAATACTATGAACAACAGCCTGTATTTTATACCACTTTTAGCTTTCCTCACTTTATCCTGCATTACTTGGCTTTGTCTTAATGATACAGGAATTAACAGCTTCATTTTGCAGATGAGGAAAATGGGTGAGGAGATTTACCCAAGGCCACATGCTCCATCAGTGGCACAGTGAGGACTAGGTGCAGATGGCTAGGTGTTCAGTTCAGGGCTCTTTTCTATGTTCCTGCTGCTCCCCTCTCTCCCCGCTCCCATTCCATCTACAACTCACTTTGCCCAGAATTAGTATTTTCATGAAAGGCATGCCTTTGACTTGGAGTACTTCCCCGATGCCTGTCAAGTGATGTTCCGGATGTCCTCTCTCCACTGTGTGACCATGACTGGTCTGCTCATGCCCTCCTTCTCCAACTCCCTGTCTCCCTGAGCACAGATGTCTGACTATGGGATTTGAATTTGTTTTGGCCTTGGCAGGGTGCCCTGTATCTGCCTTCAGTTTGGGAGTTTCTAGGTGGCAGGGACTAAGTATCTTTCTCCTTCTGGATTCCCCCTTTAGCTGTTAGAATGGAGAAAGGGCTGAGAGAGAGGATTCTCTTTCCACTTCCCTGCTTACTCTAGTGAAACAGGAGTCTCAGCCTAACCCTGCCCTCACTACTGACCGTCAGCAGTTTCAGTCCTCCTATCTGTCCAGTATGCCGAAGGTGGGGGCCCCGGCAAAGATCAACCAATGTGCCGCACCTGGAAGAAGGGAAGGGCCAGTTAGTGGCTTCCAAATTCTTGAGCTTCTAGTTTTCTTTCTCTCATGGCCTTTAGCTAACTGAAAGGTATCAAGAACTGTTCTACAGAGAGCACTGGAAGATAAAAAACAATTTTTCTCTGGAGCAACAGATTACCTTCTCTTCTTTCCCTTATCTCATTTATGGCCTCCTTTGCCACATCTCCACCTCTCTCTGTTTCTTTCAGCTTTGACAACTCTTACCCATACACTGTTGCTGTTGGACCTGTCACTTTCTTCTCGATCAGGCGAAGCTTAAAGGGGTTATCCTGAAAGAAGGGAAGAGTGAAGATAAGTTTTTATTTCCTTAAAGATGTCCTGGGAAAGAATCATCCTTTCCCTCATGCCTCTCAACTTTTCCTCTTAAACTTGGCATCTCCTCCCCACCTTGAAAAGCTGGCGAAGCTCATCCTGGGAAGCCTCTAGCCTCCGGAAAGGTTGAGCAGCAGCTGCAAATTCCTGGCAAATCCTCTCCAAAACTGGCAGCTCTAAGCCCCGGACTGTTCTGGAAATATGAGAGTTGGTTGGCTTGTATCCTCTAGGAAGCATCACCTGCGTGACAAACCTATTGGCTAGGGGGTGAAATCCTGCCCTCCAGAAACATCTAGAATTATTGGCAAAAACAGACAAACTGAGAGAAAATATAAATCAGAAATCAGACACAAATTTTATAATTGGAACAAAAAAGCTCTATGCATGAAATTAGAAGTTGAGTGCAGGCAGTCTGGATGGACAAAATTAGAGCAAGAGTAATGAGGGGTGAAGTAAAAGTTGGAGGATTCATAAAGGTAGAGAAGGTAAGTTTCAAGCAGAATTAGACAGAAAAGGAAAGACATGGACTAGTGTTGGAGGTGGTACCAATGTCCTAGATGAGGCCTGGAGAGACCCTCAACTCCAGCTTCTCTTTCAAATGAAACATGCCCAAGGCCCCAGAAAGGGGCCCTGAAATCACCTAGTAAAATGGTACATATTCTAAATTACAAGATGAATTAGATCTGAGGAGCTAATGTACAACATGGTGACTATAATTGATAATCCTGTATTGTAAAATTGAAATCTGATCAGAGAGTAAATCTTATGCACTCTCAAAAAAGAAAAAAATGAGACGATGAAAGTGTTAATTAACTCAATTGTGGGAATCCTTTCACAATGAAAACATGTATCAAATTTTCACATCATACACTTTAAGTATCATTACAATTTTGTCAATTGTACTTCAAAAAATTTAAAAGTAAAATAAAATATCGTGAAATATCTAAAAATGAAACCATCCCAGAATCATTCTCTTCCTTCCTTGTGCTACTCACCGTTCCTTTCCCAGGAAGAAATCATGATAGAAGCCACATTCTGTACTCGGACCTTGGCAGAGTATAGCACCTAGGAGTTGTTCAGCTGCTGCCCCCAAGACATGGCTGCTAGAGTGCCAGAATACCTAGGTTCACAGGAAAGGAGTTCATGAGTTCATAACATTCTTCTTTAACCCCCCGTTTGCTGATCCTTGCCTCAGAGAAGCTGGTATGAAACCAATATGACTCTTTTAGGAATAACTTTCACAAAATGGGGAACCTGACCTTGACGGTGACCAAAAGAACAGAAAAGAAAGCAACAGGCCAGTAGGAGTAGTGTACTGAAGACAGCAGCTTATAGCCCCACTTCTCAGTGCTTCCTGGTCCTGCAGCCTAAAAGCAGGAAGCCAGCCAGTTGTCTTTTGCTGCTCCTCATGTCCCCTTTTAGGGCTTCAGAGTAAACTAATTTCTGAAGACAGTGGTTCCTAAGGGCTCTGTTCTTTTAGTCCTATTTTTTTTTCTATCCTAGGAATTAGTGTGATGCAACTACTCCTGTAGGATTTGGTCACCACTTACACACAGGTGAAATGAGAACTTAATTTTTTCTGGATACTAACAGATGACGTCTGCATTACCCAAACTGACAAGAAGAGGACAAGGTGACATGGGGAGGAGGCCAGGTTGTGTGCTCAGCTGTGGAAGCCAGATTAGAATGAAATACATTACAGTTGACTTATAATGAAGGTCTCAAGTTGGGGGACCGAGTCGGCATATTAACATTATCCTGTTTTCAACTTACCATCTCTCCCTTTCACTAGCACAAATGATGTCTGCTTAATAGATCTAAACTAAGTAAAAACCTTCATCTTAAATTTCCAGCTTAGCCACAAGTAGTCAAGACAAGCCATCTGTGGTAGGTCTTCCTCCCTATTACAACTGGAGAAAGTGAGGCAAAAGAAATAAATACTATAAATGCCCTACTTCAATACCTCTTAGTTTAGTAGACACTGTATTCCTGAAAAGGAACTTACTGCTTTCCCCTCTGTGGAATCGAATGTCAGAAATCTGATGTCAGAATCGGTCTCCAAGGGCCGCTCCAGATCATAAGGTTCTCCATTCACTTGAGCAGCAACTGCAGTACCTGCCAGAGGTGAACTTCAGCAGTGGACAATGGGAGATAAAGAAAAAGACCATTTACAATCCACAGGGGAAGAGGACTAATCTCTTAGCAACTCCAAACTTGCAAAGGGGAAAGGTGTTACCACAGCAATACAACCTACCATTCTTTTCCCAAAAGATAACAGAGGAAGGGCAAAGACTGTGAAACTAATGCAGATAAAAGTGGACCCTCAGGAAAAGACTATATTAATGGGGATGGAATAGAAACAAGCATAATTTTCTTTCTCTGCTGAAGTCCAAATAAGTGCAATGGTAGAATAATCATCCTGGTAGCTATGAAATGGGTCTCGTACCTGATCTGCTGGGCTAGTTGGTAAGGAGTTGTGTTCCATGCTACAGCATCCATTTTCTGGCCTCCGGCAAGTGTTATCTTAATAGTCCGGTGTTCCTTCTGTGCCATGCTTGCTAATCTCTTTACTTGAGCAGCCCATAGCTCCTCAAAAAGGCTAAGCCGCTCTGCTAACCAGTGTGGAGGCGTACGCACAGCCTGGCAGGAAAGATGTTAGGTGACATAGGTCCCAGCATTCCTTCCTGGGACTGGAGATGGTGGGAGATGAGGTCATTTAAGTGGCCTTGGTCCCAATCCCCACTCTTTAAGAGGATTGGGTAATACAGGGCCCTAGGCGGGGAGCCCGACGATCCCCAGGCTGTTGACCCCAGGAAAAAGATGATGCAATTAAGGGCTAGGGTAGTCGAGTCCGGGTACTCAGGGCGGGGGCAGGAGTGTTATGCTGGGTTGAGCCCGATGCCATTCGTAACTTTGGGGTACCTTACGGTCCGTGCGTAGCCTGCAGGTTTGTAACCCTGGGAACCGGAGCCGCCGCCACCGCTGATACAGTCCCATGTTCCTTCAGACTCATGCCTACATCCTCAAATTATCGTTGCGTCTGCTTCACCAGATTCCTCAATTGGTTTCTGGCCCGACAATACCCATGTCTATTGGTTACTAGAGCTGCCACTCTAATCTGGGACCACTTCCAGGAACTCGGAAGAGGTACACTCCACACAGCACAAGCAGCGGTGTGGGCGGTTCCGGTTGACCGGAAGACCTAAACTGTTACACACCCCGGCATTCTCTCGACCTGCAGGTGCAGCCCAAAAGCAGCAGCAAGATGTCCTGCTTAAGGACAGGGATAGGAAAACTCCGGAGCGTGAGAATGGGAGTGGAGAAAAACAGATCGGAAAAGGCACTTAGTCATTTCCTTTTAACCTTAGGTTTTCTATTACCTAGTCTTTGGTGTTTGTAGAAAACAGTAAAAGCACAGACTGAAGCCAGACTGACTTAGTGTAAATCCTGATTTGCCATTCACTATGTAATTTTGGGTAGATTAATTTTGTTCTAAGATTTAATTTTCTCATCTATAAAATGAGAATAACAACAGTATCACTTGAGGTTAGTTTTATGTAAATAATCTAATTTATTGCGTGGTATAGGGTAATGAGCAACAAAATCGACAAGCTCTTAGAATAGATGAATAGAACAGCTTTGGGGCTGGAGCAAAGACTCTGCAGAGAGCACTTCTTGAAGTCCCTTATTTCTAATGGTGCTTAAGAGGGGCCTTAGAGACCTCTTCATCTTACAGATGAGGAATTTAAGGCCAGAGAAGGTTAAGTGACTTAAGATCAAACAATAAGTGCTGATGCTTGATCCTGAATCCAGGTCTTGTACTCTTCTACTACACCATGCTTTCTCTGGTAATCGAGTTTCCTCCCAATATATGCTCCCGTCACTTCAGAAAGAGGCGCCTGACCCTACAACCTTAGCTCTCTGCTTCCTACACAAAACTTTTGCCTCATTCCCATCCTAGTTCTCAATTTCTCTTATCCCTTCTCTTCTCTCTCCCTGCAAATACCTAGGACACATGACTAGGTATATTTATTTTACACAGTAAAAACTGAAACACTATCAGATTTACAGTAAAATATGAGGGGAAATGGACTTGGGGGTAGGTGCGACATTTTTCAGTAATTCCCCTTAGTCCCCTCACCTGGGGTTGGGGATGGTTAGAGTTGGTTCTCAAGTTTCCAATGGTGATGGAATCAAGAACTGTGGAGGAAGAGCTGTCAGAGAAAGCTGTTTAATCTATTAGATTTCCAGAGGCCAGCGGTTCTTTCTGGGAAAGGCAGCAGTTGACCTGAGTCACAGGCACCACTCTGAGTCCTGGCTCCATGTCTTGGTATGTTAAGACACCCTGCAATACAAACAGAAATAGACAAGACTGTGGTAGAGGAAGATAACTCGTGGTGGGGTTGAAGAGAAGGTAGTGAGAATTTTTAAATGGCATTCAGAAAGTGTGACAAGAATTTTCCCCATGTCTCTGCAACAAAATAGAGGGTGAGCATTATATTGCAGGTAACAAAATGGCAGTTGCTTAATAAATAAGTATTGAATTAAGAATGTACCAATCACTGTACTGACTTAAAACTACAAGGAATACGTATACTGGCACACACATTCTTTAATCATTCTACCTTGTCCTCTTTTGTTAGGATAGTAGAGGGATGGTGGAATAAGTAGGCTACCCTGTTAGGGCAGCTTCCTGCACTCATCCCTCAAAACGTTTACTAAATGCTTACTCTGTACTGAGTACTCAGTACCCCGAACCGAGTACTCAGGGGGTGCATATCACCTACTACATTATCACCTAAGTAACTGTTACAGTGGAGGAAGGAAGAATGTCAAGTTATTCCATTCCTTCCCCTCTGTCAGGCAAGCATCCAGCAAGGAACAGCAAGCTACCTAAGGCCAATTCATTAATCACTGGTTCTTTTACAACTTCTCATTTAGGACTAGTATGTCAGCCTCAGGGAATTTTAACCCGTTAACCTCTTAAAACTGCTCTTACCTGCCACCCAGAATATCACTGAACACTTAACTACATGCCAAGCGCTATGCCTTCGCTGCCCCATTCTGAGAACAACCCTAATACTAGCTCCTCCTATGTTCCCTCTAAAATGGAAAATGACCCTCAGAGAAGTCAAGCCTCTGTCAGTCTGAATCCCCAGCCAGTGTTATGCCGTGCCATACTGCCTCTCAGGGACCGGAAGTCACAGTGCATGTTTAGTAGCCCAGCTCTTCTTCTCTCCAGGGTCCACTACATGGAGCCTTTGGGGCCAAAGAGGCCTTTAATAAAAGTGTGGAGAGAGGGGTCCAATAAAAAGCCAAGAAATGTCTTAACAGATTTTCTCCACCAGAGTGAAGTTAAGGAAAAACAAGTGGTTATGAATACCAGATTTCACAGAAGTCTAGGGAAAAGGGAATCCTCAGCAGGATTTCCCCAAAATCCTAAATTTGGGGAAATTCTCAGCTTCACTCCACCTTTAGAACAGACATCCTTAGTCAGCCAACATGTTGGTCAAGGAGTTTTTTTTTTTTAATAATCCTAAACTATATGTAAGAATGTTCTCCATTGAAAGTACATTTTCCATTGTCATCAGGATCAACACAAACCTCTAAATCTATCTTAGCTCTTAGAAGGAAAACTTCCCTGCATCAAAGAGGTAGAAAAGATATTGGAGGTAAAAAAGAAATTTAAGGTAAACTATCTAAGTTATGTCATTATCACCAAATGTTTTTGAGGCCCAGAGAACTAGCCAAGTGGCTAAAGGGTACAGTAGGTGGTGTGGGAGGTTAGGTTTTTTTTCAAATTTCCTTAGTAATGAAGATCTAGGATGGGGCCAAGCTTTTACCTGAACTTTGCTTTAAGATGCCACAAGGGGAGATGAAGTCTAGTCAAATTTGCTGAGTAAATAAAGAAGTGGATGCTTCCTATCAGGGCATAGTTAAGTAGAACTTTGCTTTGAAAACAAAGCATTGGGCTCACTATAAATCCCTACTAAGATTTCACTCAGCCAAGACCTCTTGATACTGTATTAGAGAAAGACAGAAAGTCACTTCTACCCCTGCCTTTTAAACCCTGATTTGTCAGGTCAAGGCCAAGGGAAAAATACAGGAAGTCTCCCAGACACAGGAGTCAGTGCAGGGATGTGTCATATTAGGATCAATTCTTAAGTACAAAACAAAGAGCTAAGCACTCTGAAAGGTCCAAGATACATTTACAGATGGCATCATACTAAGCCCACTACCGATTAGGATTTCAAATCCTTTACTAAACTCCAGTGCTCTCACCAGTGACTGGCTACCTAGAAGATATGGGACCTTAAGTGGTTCTCACGTAAGTGCAAAGAATTCCTAGCCAGGCAAGGGGTAACAGAGGGAACTGGCTGCTGCCCAACTCCTTTTTTACCCAATCCAACTGAAATACCCCCCCAAAAAATGTAGCAAGTTTCTAGTCTTTTTATCTCCTCTTTCCCACAAATTATGCAGTGAAGGACTTGAGCAATTCTCAAAAACAAGGGAAAACAATGAGGATGAAGGAAGTGAAGTTGCTGAAACATCTAATTTGCTATGAACCCCAAAAGATCCAGGGTGGACTGGTTTAGCCAACGCCCTTTCGAGCCAAACACACAAGCTGCAGCCTGTATTTTTGTTCTGTTGGTGCTGCTCACTAGCCCTTCCACCCACATCTGGGTTCTCAATTTCAACTCTTCCCAGTTAGAACACAGGAAAAGGAGACGTAAAATGGAACCGTAAAGGAACCGCAATACCAATTTCTAAATTGACCTCAGCCTTCTCCTCCCCTTTCCCTCAAACTTGCGACCAAGCATACAGTGTTTCTCCTCCCCTACCCCAACAGTTAGCCACAAAATGTGAGTTGTGAATTTCACTTGTTCTTTTCCTTTAAAGCATATGTGCTTCTCTTTACTTCTACATGGGGGTAGAACAGGATGTTTACTTGAGAGCCGATATCTCACCTAATAAGGGTGTCCCTCTCTAGCTTTGTCTATGCAGCTTCAATGAGTTATTACTCAGCAATTATGAACAACAGCTGACTAGACTTGCCTATACACTCATAAACAAGTATGAGAAACGCCCCAATACCCCAAAACCCATTTCGATGGTGTGTTACTGTCTACATACAGGAGAGGGTAACTCATTCCTCCCATACAAGACTGGCTTAAATAAAGCAATTTAGGGAAAGGAAGGTGAGCATTTTTAACATGCCCAGAGTCCAACAAGCAAATCTAAAATCTGTTGCTCCCTTGAGGGTGGAAAAAGGATTAGGAGGGCAAGTCAGGGTCCCAAGAGACAAGAAAGAATAGGTGTGTGCCAGATTCCAGAAGGACCCAGTTCAATGGACACCCTACCTGCTGGGTGCGTTCCTAGGCCACTGCTATTTCTGAAGTATCTCATGACACGTGTAGCTTCATGTAATCAAGGCTGCTATTAGAGACTTCTACCCTGCCAGAGACCTAGGGCTAGTATAGATGTGGTGACACTCTCTTTACCCTCTTAAAGCTGACATTCCATTTATTAAGCCTCACTGGGTGATGAAAAAGGGATGGGGCAAGAGAGGAGGGTTAAGTGTAGCTTCTGCATGACAGACTACCAGTATGCAGCAAGAAGGGTAGACGTAGGCAAAGAATTGGCGAGAAGGACCCCTACCCCTCTTCTATGCTTGCTTTAAAAATGCTTAACTCAAAATTGTACTATTGAAGACAAATACAATTATTCACAGTATATCCCAGTTCATTACCAACCACTCCTGAACATCTTGATCTTACCCCACCCATCATCCCTTTCTAAAACTGAATTACACAAATGATGAAACAGAAAACAGGGCATGAAGATCTCAAGGGCTCAGACTGCCTTCAGTGACAGAGTGCATAAGTCAAAGGGCACAACTGGACAAGATCAATGTGAGGGGAAAAGTCAAACACACAACAAAGGAAACCATATTTTATTAAACTGGAAAACAAAAACAATACTGGAGACAAAGATTAAAAAAAAAGAAAAAGGAATGGCTGGAAGAGAGGCAAGTGCGAGTGACCACAAGGCAGGGATGAGAGGGCGGTCTGTGGTTATCTGCGTGCCTCAGAAATGTGCAGACACAGACTTCCCCCACTCTGAGACCAAAAGCCAATAAAAGCTTATCTTCAGGCTTTTTTTTTTCTGTATCCTGTAGCTGGTTTCACCTTCAGCCCTGGACAGTCATGTAGCGTCTTTGCCGGAGGAAATTCAGTTTTCCAAGCACAGATCTGCTCCACAAGGCAGCAGTTTCGGCTCCTGTAGAAGTTCCCTTCTATTTGCACTCACCAGATAAGACAGGGGCCCTTGGTCAAAGCCCCAAATCTCAAAGAAAAATGTCAAACCTTTAGAACTAGGTATTTTATTAAATGATATTAACACACATTTCAAAAGGATTTCATTGTTGTTGTCTCTAAAGCATGAACTTCCTTTTTTTTCCACACTGAACACATGAGAATGTCAATCCAACATATCTAATTTTAGTTTGAACAGGCACCCCCACCCATTCAAAAGGGGGGGGGGTACGAAAAAAGGGAAAAAGCAGTAAGTTACAGCGGCTTCAAAACAGTAACAGCTGAAGCTTAATTCTGCATGAACTGGTAACTTCAGGATTGACAGTGAATATTCTGCAATTAGGAAGTATAGCATACTCACATTAACTAGATGTGTTTGCTGTACCATATATCACAAACATTGTATTCCTAGGATCAGAAAGGATAGAAGCCCTACTCTCTGATCATTTCACCCTCCCTGGAATCAAACCAAATTCTACTTACTTTCAACTTTTTGGAGGGCAGATGGGAGCTGGGAGAGAGCTCTCATCTTAACTCACTGAATCTTAGAAAATACTTAAGGACTCTATTTCTGAATTCTAAGTGGTACCAGTGTTCATGACCCCCACCAATTCTCTGTCTGTGATTTTACAGTGAGCACCAAGGACCTCAGTAACAACTTCACATATTCTGCTTTCATATGAATCATGTCCTTGTGAAGACGCACTATGTTATACTTTCTTTAAAAAAATCTTTTTTATTGCCTCTTTAAACTCAGGTTGTAATACAAAAGTCAGAGCATGGGCACGGAGTTTTAAATCACAGACACAGAAAGAATAAAACCCCTTTGTTTCATGTTACAAATCCCAGGATTTGTTTCACTATATCACATATATACATCGTTGTCTTCATTTACTGCTGTAGACAGATTTCCTTAAAGTTAACAGCTGACAGTCACGTACAAATCCTCACTCCTATCCTGAAACACAGAGGATTTTGTGGCTTAAAAAACAACACACCCACACAAAAAAATCATCCCTTAAAAAGTCCATCTTTACATTGTACAAGATCTTCCTTTCATGTACTAGCCATCATGCTTTTGAGGGTAATTACCCTGCCCCAACATTCAGGAAGCCATTTTCCTGACATCCCCACATTTACTGATAAAATCAAATGGTCAGAGAGCCTTTTCAAGTAAACTACTTTTATCTTAAACAAGAGCAGCAGAAAGAATTCAGATTCTTTTATTCTAGAATGAAAAATGTCCCACTTAATTTCTGGAGGGAAAAAAACCCCATCTATTTCAGTTATGAGTCAATCAGAACTTTCCCTCCCTCTCCCCCAACCCCTACTCTTACTCTCTCTTGTACCTTTCCTTAAGCAATGTCTTAGTAGGACTCAATATGGCCATATTGTGTCTCTGCTTTGCTGCACTACATACACCATCCCACACACAAGGCGTGGTGTCATGTGTTTTTTGTTGGGAGAGCTACAGGGTAGAGAAGTTTGAGGTCAAGGAAACAAAGGACAGCTGGCCTAAGACCAGGAAGATGAATGACTTGCAGCATCCCAACCACAGAATACATGGCAAGCTGAAATAAATAACAGAATAAATTACACCAAAACTCCCAAACTATGATGCACACCTGGTTTAAGCTGCTCTTTATCTGAAAAGCAAATTTATTCTGAGAAAATCATCTGTCACTACATTTCCCACTGTCTCCCATCTTTAATATTTCACTGGAGGAATCCAAAACAATACCTATACTTCCTACAGTTACTTCTATATTCACTAGGAAGAAATATGAAACTTGCTAGGATTCCCTAAAAAACACAACACATTGACTCACCTAGCTGGAAACAGCCAATGGTACTTTGGGGGTAAGACACTAAATAAAAATAGAAGTAAAGCAATGCTTGCTTTTCAGTGTTCCTAGATACAAAGATATAAACACTCAGACTGCAGTGATTGTCTTTTTCTCAGTGTTAGTTGTAGAAATACAAGTTCAGAGAGAAGAAAAGCATTTCTTTCTCATGTACAAAGACTACGGGCAGAAACCTTCTTTATGTCTCCTCTTGGGAATGGGAGGTGAGAATAAGGCCTGAGCCTTGAATGTGACAGGCTGTTATCTGTAGAGTGGGGGTAAATTTGGACCTATCAGGTCCTCCCGTTTCTCTATAAAGATATGTATAGTTATACCCACTTGTCACTAACACACATCGGAAGAGGTATAAAGGAAGATGTTACTGAACCTTCTCCTTTGCAAAAGCAAAAACACGAGTGAACACAGGACTGGAGCAAAGGGAAAAGATAAAGACAAATATTTCCCTTTCCCTAGTAGTTAAACCTTCACTGAAAACCACCACCAAGTATCATCTACATTAGGGAGTCGCCATGGTAAAAATATCTACCTCTTATATTAAAAATACAGTGATATTTCAGTTGCATCTTTGTATCAACTGACAACTGTACTGCCTTTCTGGCCAAAGCAGAAGTGAAAACTGAGGAAGAAAAAAAGTCTACTGTAAAGAAAGAAGAGCAGAGAGCAAGAGCTTGCTACAAAATATCTGCAACTACCTCAAAAACATTCCTCTTCTCTCGTTTATGAAGGATGGGCAGACCACATCACATTAATGATTACCTTCTTTCTCTATATATTACAGCGATTCCTTATTTTAACCTTGAAATTATATCCAGCTCCTTCTCCTTCATCCCAAGGATAAAGAGGAAAAATGTTTTACTTGGGTGGAATTAGGCCTGCATCTTCTCAAAGTTACTGCCTGATAATACTTTACAAGAGAAGGCTGATTCATTTTTTTAATTAAGATTTTAGGAGAAAGGTAAAGAACTCAACTTCAACATGCCTTTAAAACAAAACTGACAGGCCCAAGGTCTCCCACATCTCCTCCCTTGATATCTACTGGCTGCCAGCAAGGCATAGGGTGCCCAGAGTAGGGGGCCAAGGTGGTTGTAGCAGTTACTTAGTGGGGGAGAGAGGGAGCAGGAATCCTTCTATTGATTACTTGATAAGCCAAGCCCAAAATAACATCCCAACATTGCATATGTTAATATCTGTACTGATGGGTTTTATTTCAAATGTAGTAATACTCTTCAATAGATGGGGTAAAATAAGAATTACTGTTTTCCTCCCCACTCCTCAAACGCCCCAGTCAAGTGAAGTGGCTTTGGTTGTGTTTCTTGGCCGCCCCCTGCCCCTCATAAAATACAACTTGAGGAAGGTAGGTAAGTGCAATGGGAGGACTGGATGGAATAGTGACATGTAAGCATATATGACTTTTTAAACTGGAAGGGAGGCCCTTTGTCATAATAAAAAAATAGGAATAAATCAAAGGAGGAAAAACAAATAAAAACAGTAATAAACCAAACTCCTACTTCCAATGCTCTCTAGATTGTTCAAAATGCTTTGCCCTTGGCTTCCATCAGTACCTGGGAGGAAAGAATGGGCGTTTTGGTGCAAAGAATGGAGGGCCCCTAGCAAAAGGTGGCCTGGGTCTCTTTAAACTGTGGAACGGGTCTCTGCTGAGAAAAGGTTCCCTAGGCCGAAAGTCAGGCCGGGGATTCCGCAGAATCATACCACTCCGGCTGATGGCGTCTCTGTGTGAGGGACCCAAGGCGGGGCCACTGGAGCTGTTGCCGCCTCCCCCACCTCCTCCTCCATGGACTGCGCCCAAGTGCTCCAGGGAATGGGAGGGCAGGCTCAGGCTCTCGCGAACACGGCTAAGGCCAGGGCCATTGAGGTCCCGCTGGGTGGGGCCCCCGTGGTCCCTGGGTCCTGGGAGCACTCCAAAATGCTCAGCCAGGGTCCCTTGAAGGAGGGAACTACGGTCCTTGGGAAATACTGCCACAGCCCCAGCCACTCCGTGCTCTGCCAGTGGTGGGGCTGGGAAGGGCACAACCCCAGAGTGGTCAACAGCAGGCGGAGGAGGAGGTGGAGTAGAAAAAGGGACACCACTCCCACCACTGCTGCTATGCTCCCCTGGGGGTGGAGGGGGAGGGGTGGGGAAAGGAACTCCACTGTGCTCCCCAGGAGTGGGTGGGGCAGCATGGGCCAGGGCCGCCTCCTTTGTGAAGGGGTTCGAAAGCTCCACAGAGGGTAGATGAGTGGGCGCATCTCGAGAGAAGATAACACCATGATCCTTAGGAGGGGCAGATGGGGCAGATGATGGCCCCACTGGCTCTCTCTGGAAGGGTGTCCCATGTTCCAAAGGGGACGAGGGGAGATGATGCTCAAATGTTGAGTTGAAACTATTGGAACAAAAGCTGCCGATACTTTCCTGAAATTGGGGTGCCCGTTCCTTGTATGGTGCTGTTTTAAAGCCAGTGAGGCCTCCGCTGACCCCACCCCCAAGGGATGCCAACTCAGAGGCGCCTGAGGGGCCATTGTCAAAAGAGCTGCCTGAGGTGCTCAGATCAAACCAACCCACCCTTGAAGCCTCACGCCCGTGTCCTCTAGTTCCCTTCCCAGGAACTCGGATGGACTCTACGGTCTGTATTGGCTCCCCTGACATCCTCCTATTGGATGCATTGTGATACCCCAAGGTCTCTATAGGGGCCCCCTTCTCTTCAGTGCTGTCAGGCAAGTCTAGGCAGGAGGAGGAGACTCGGGTTTCTATGCGGTAGTGCTCTTCTTGCTGCTGCTGATCAGCGGCCGTCAAACTGGGCTGGGCGAGGTTTGAGAGACTGACACCATCACCTGAAGTGCCCTTGCTGGGGGCCTGGCCAAAATGCTTATCATCTGAGGGCTTTCGTGAGGCATTTTTAAGCATATTCTTAAACTCAATCGTCGATGTGGTGGAAATGGTGGAGGCCAGGACTTTCTCCACGCCTGTTGTGGGTGGGTGGCCCGTGGGAGCGGCAAGTGTATTCTGCGGAGAGAAAAGGGAACGATGTGGGACAGGGTGAGGAGAGTCTGGGTATTTCTGTGGCAAACTTAGATGCCCACTGGTAGACTGAGACAAGCTATTGTGGTTGGAGTCAGGGGTGAAAAAGGAATCATTCTTACTCGGTGATGGTGACTGGTCAGACCCCGGTTCATTTCCTCTTATGCTGAAGGCACCAAACAGCCCAGGGGAAGATGAGAGACGGTCACAGTTCTCACTAGAGTCCAGGAGGGCCCTTACAGATGGAGGGAAAGCAGACTTTACCCCAAAGTCTTGGGCTCTGTGGCTATAACTGGACAGGATTGGGTGGTACTCAGTGGTATCAGAAAGCTTGCTTGATTTCAAGATAGACTTGGCTGGTTTCTTCTCTAGGTTCATCATAGCAGAGGGTGGAGGCCCTGAATACTCAAAATCTCTGTAATCTTCATCTTCCTGGAAAGAAGTATCTGGATAGAACTTTTCCTGTGAAGAGTCCATCAGGGAAGATGGTCTCTCTATTCCATCAGAAGGCTGCTTATAGGGTGATTCACTGCCCAGGCCAAAGGGTCGATATGTAGATACAGAAGTGGAGAGATCCCGGGGGTAGCTTTCCTCTCTCCCAGGGGGTGGTGATCTTGTACTGCTGGGTGTCGAGGAACCAGGGCTAATGATCTTAGAAAGCAGGGACATGGTGTCTACACTGCTGGATGTGGGCTTGTCCATCATCTCATCTTGGGTGGGTGTCCCACTCCGTTCATCCCGCACAGGGGTTCCGTCAGTGTTGTCGATTGACGTGCTAGTAGGGCCACGCTGGAAGTCTGAGGGACGGCTTTCTGCTGGGGCACTGGATCCCAAACTGCTCAAGATTGGGATGTTTAAGTTTAAGCCACTGAAACCAGGATTACCTTTTAAGAAGTTGTGGATCTTCATTTCCAGGCTTGGGGAGGTGGAATCAGACTCCAGCTTTGGCTTGGAGATCTCTGAAGATTGGCACATGGCAACTTCAGGAGGTGGGGCAGCAGGGCTAGTACTGTGGGTACCTGTAAACCCCATAGAATTGGACGGTAGCTTGAAAGTAGTGCTTGGGAGCCCTGGGCTTTGCCCAATTGAGGTCTTACTGGCTGAAGTTGAAGAGACTTCAGAAGTTGATGAATTAGGAGAATAATTGAAGCTTTTGGGAATAAAGGATTGGGTATTGGGAGGCAAGTTTCTTCCTTTTATGCTGGAGACTGTGCTGTTGGCAGGGGAAGCTGAAGTGCTCTGGGGTACAGCTTCACTGGCTGGAACTGAGTTCCCAGCAACACTCTGAAGTAAAGACGACAGGCCTGTAGAAACAAAGATCAGAGGAGTTGAAAAGAACGACTTCCCACCTCTCAGTAAGAACAATGTAGGCTGATCAGACACTGTCATTCACTCCAGTGGGAACCAGACAGACATTCAAATGAGGCCAAATGGATTCCAGACTAAACAAGCATTGGCTAAATGCCATAGAAAATACTGGACATATTTATCAATTTTATGAAGAAAGCAAATCACTGAAATGTTTCTAGTATGATCATGAAACAAGTCCAACATAGCACAATAAAAGGCAAGAGAATGGGGGAGATTTTAGTGTCAGAATAATTCACAGTTTAACAAGACAAAGCAGGAAAAGAAAGGAGGCAAAATTATTATTAAAAAAACACTTTTAAAGCCAGTATTTTCAAATGTTTGTTCTGTGGAACTGTTTCTCGAATTGCAAAGAGATATTCTGCTCTACCCTTCCTTCCTTCCCTATCTCCACAACTGTCTCTAGTAAACTAATATAATGTTATTCCCAGGAGGAAGATAGCATATGCAGATTGCAGAAACTGACTGGGACAGGGGCACTTGTTTCAAGAAATACCTCTTGCTAGACTAGTGTTACCTTTGGGGAAACAGTGCACTTGGGTATCATTTTTGGTTGTAAAATGTAGCAGTAATAAAAACACAAACATACATCATAAAGACTTACAAAGCTGGACCATCAGGGGCACTGATCCTTCCAGGAGAAAACACACAATGCCTGCCTTACAGCTTGGAAAAATCCAAGGATTACTGACCTACCTAGGTTAACCCTGATGAGATTCAACCCTACGCACAATAGACAAAACCTCAGAAGCACTGAGAAGAAATTCTTCAGGGCAAAGGCTGATGTCCACCAAAGCAAATTACTCCTACAGGAAATTTTATAGGAAAAAACTTGACAGAAAGGTAACAGAAGGTCCTATAAATCTGACTATATTTTGGAAAATTTACCCAATTTTTGGTTGTAAGTAGAAAGTTTTTATATACTTTACCCAGATTTAAAGCTTTTAATCAGACATCAACTGTTTTCCTTCATAATGATATAGTGAAAGAAAATAGTATTTCATGTGATACTTCAAAATTTTAACTTTAATCCATATTTGCTAAGAGATTTAAGGTCTGAAGAATTTTAAGGCTGCTCCATGTTTGTGGCATTTTTACCTGCCATCTAATTCTAAAAAATGGTATGTGGTCTTTACTGCTGTCCAATATTCAGTAATATCCAAATAACCGAAATAGTTTACTTCAATTATTATCCTCCTGACCAAAAAAAAAAAAAAAATCTGTATTTCACTTCCAAAAAGTTTCTTGGCTATCTTCCAAAGCAGAAGTCCTCAACACTAAAATATATAATGTCATATGATATTTAAAAGATATTTCAGCATATCTTTCAGAAATTGTGGGGTAAATTCTTCAAAAATCATTTTGTTAAGATAGATACTACTTAGATTTCTGATAATAGATGAATAGTTTCTTACTACTAAATATTACTTTTCTTCAATCTTAACAAGCCATACTCTATGGCCCTTGGTCCACTGAAGTCACTGTGTGTTGAAAATCTGTCATTAAGGGCTGTGGGTGACACAATCACACACAATACAATAAAATATAAGTGAAGAATTCAAGGTTTCTACTGTAACTATAGGATGATAATAGAAGGACTAAAAGAGAGAAGTCATAAACATACCAATCTCTCAAACTCATTATCCCTGAAATCAGTAGAGGATATCCAGTGAAGTATTATTCTCTATGGCTAGTGCCAGTATACGGGAGATGTGGATAATTATTTAACAGTATTTGGTGCTATGTCACAACATTCTCCTATATTTTAAGACAAAGTTCACTATAACACAGTGCTTGGCTAATTCACACTTACAGAACAGTTCAGAAAGTAAGAAAAACTCATGTATCTGAACAGCTCCCTATACATACTAACCAGGGCTTTTCAACCTCAGCACTACTGACATTCTGGGCTCAATGAGTCTTCACTGTGTGCTGTCCTGTAGCATCCCGGGCACCAGCCCATGAGCCACAATAGCACCCTCTCTCCACCCCAGTGTGACAAAAATATCTTCAGACATTGCCCAATGTCCCTTGGAGGCTCCTGGTTGAGAGCTATCAAATTATAAAGTAAATCGCTATATTGAAGATACTACTCTGGTATTGGTGATTCGTTGTGTAATTATACTGAGGTACTTAATAACAAAGGCTGTGTTGCTATCTGGAGGATCTGAGAACTGAGAGCAGGTAAGCTTTATGAAAAAAGTTAGAAGCAGACAGTTCTAGGCAAAAAGGAATAATGAGCAAAACTGAATAGTAGAGGTAGAGATTATAGGTAGGCAAAACCAAAAAATATATACTGTATCTATATATGGAGGCCTCTATAAAACATTAGGACATAAAAGAGATATTCATGTCTCATAAGATTTTTGATAACAGAATGTCCTTTCTTACTGTCTTTAGTTTGGGTTAACATTAAAATATATAAATCTCAACATACATTAACCTGTACTAAGAGCTGGGATAAATGCAGCCCTTAGGATTGTCATGGAATAGTGAAAGAATACTAGACTCCAGTCAAGAAATCTGGCTTTTAGTCTCGGCTTGTCACTGAATAGACAGATGTGTGACCTTGAGCAGCTTACATCATCTCATTGAGCCTTAACTTCCTCACCTGAAAAGGAGCGGAATAGACTAGATATTTATGTGTCTCTCAGCTTTGACATTTTATAATTCTATAAATGCAAGCTCATAGACGCACCATATAAAGAGAATAACGGACTAACTGTATTATACATTTCATGGCTTTGGATTACTCAGAAATGGAATCTAGGATTAAGCCAGAGACAATTCAAGTCCCTGTGGCACACGTCAGTTTACCTTGCAGTGCAGGGGCTGACTGTGTCTGGGTTTTGGAGAGAGCAGACAGAATGCTCTCTGGGGTGATCTCCACCTTGGAGAGGATATTTGCCAGAGGGTTGTGAGATGTTGTTGTAGCAGGTGCAGGTGTTTTCAGGCTACTGGTGAGGCTGCTGGGACTTGGAGTTCCCGGAGAAGGCCTTGATGCAGGACTGACCCCTGGTGGCAGAAAGATTAACTGAAGAAAATACAATTCAAAATGACCTTTAAATTCATGATACTCTGCACTCAAAAGTTAGGTATGTTGAACAGGAATTCTTCTATGTGAGATCCGCAAATGGTTCCTATTATGGCTTTAACAAAGAAAAATCCTGAAAATTAGGTTAAGATTTGCTCCCACCTCCTTGGAACACCCATAAAATGAACAAGTATTGTTCTATAGTGGTCAATAAATATCGTTGGCTAATTTTGATCAATCATTGCAATTGTATACTCAGCCACTGCATGATTCTATGTGCTTAATAAATTATTGCTTTTGAAAAGGCTTTTAAAATAAGATTATATAAGCAATCTCCTTTACATTGTTACTTTTTAAAACACGGAGTTGATTTTAATATAGGAAAAAAGGTATATAAAAATAAGATAAAATCAATTTGACTTTTGAAATGAAAATTAAAACATGATTTTTTTAAGACTGAATTTGACAAAAAGATTACAATACAATAGTGATGGACATGTTGAAGAACAATGGCAACTTTCATATACTTGGTACATAAAATAGTACATTTTTGGAGATCATTTTATAATAAGAAAAGACTTAAAAACCTACATGCTGATTGTTTTTGAGGCTTTTATCTTCTAGAAATATATATTTAAGTATTTATGAAGAAATGAAATAATTTTGACTTTCTTCAAATAATCAGGATTGGGCAGGACATAGCAGAAATAAGACTGGCCATGTTTTTCTACTGTTGAAGATGAGTGATGAGTATGTAGAGGTGCTCTACTTTTATAAATTTTCGTTGAAATTTCCATTAAGAAAAAAAGCCCTATATATACTCATCAACCATTTTAGGAAGAGTTGTGCATAAAATTTTAGCATCAAGGTTGTTCATTGCAGTGAAATGAACCTGTAATTGACAAGACCTTTATAATTAACTATTCTTTATATTCTTTATAACAGTGAAAAATTGGAAACATATCATGTTTAACAATAAAGGCTTAAATAAATTACTGAATGCTATATAGCTATTAAAATGATATAGATGAATATTTAATGACTTTCAAAAACATTTATGTGTGGTTAAATATTAAACAACTGGTTTCAAAACAGTATATGCAGTATGTTTCAATTACTGAAAGAAAAATTATTATGAATATTTAATCTCCCCATTCATATACACATATATTTGTAAGATGAGATATATAACCTGGTTTCCTTTGGGGTAGTAAGATTATGGATATTTATTTTAATCTCTTTATTAATTTTCTAAGTTTCTGTAATGACCATGTATTAGTTTTTGTTTGTTTTTTTATTAAGGTATCTGCACTCTTATGAAGGTTTCACATGAAAAATACTGTGGTTACTACATTTGACCATGTATTAGTTTTAATTTTAAAAATTACTTTTAATTTTAAAAAGTCAACAGAAGAACCAGACTGATGGTTCCATTGGAAATATGGCAATAGCTTTTTACCTTCTTTACTGGTTTTACTTACCAGTATTTTTCATGACTGATGTCAAGCTACTAAGGATGGAACTGATCTTTGCCAGGTCCACATTAGCCAGGTTTGGCAAAGCCAATGCTGGAGAAGGGGACAGAAGAGAAGTATTCACAGGTTTTGGAAGAGGTGGGGTTGCTGTCATGGTCGGCACTGGGGTACATGAAGAGGCCTTTGAGATGCTTTCTGTTGGCTTTGTAGATACAGAAGTGGACACAGCTGACTTCTCCACAGGTTTTTCCTTCCTGTCCTCTACTGTTCAAATAAAGAAAAGAGATATTACATCCTACTACTTTCCAGACTCTGCTTCCAATATGAGAGAGTATGCCTTAGTATTTCCTGATTTGGGGGTAAAAGTATTATATTTCAAAGAAAAACCAGTAACTTCCTGATTTTCTAAATAGTCATACTCTTTATG